TGATGGCCACATAAGACAAGGCAGATAAACTGGGGGAACAATGAAGCAAGGAGCCAGTACTGGTCAACCTGGCAGGTGCTGCATGCAACAGAAGCTAACTTCTGCTAAGTTTCAGTGGGTGTCAGAGCAGAAGGGAGCCTTAGGAAAAAGGCTGAAGGAGACTGTTGTTTGGAGATGGCTGAGGAAATCCTCCCAAGTATGAGTTTGCAAGAGGTGCAGAGAGTTGGCACTACAGGGCAAATGGATACTAAAATTACTCTTATAAGTTGCAGTGAGAGGTGATTGGGGAACATGTGGATGGGAAATTAAGTGCCTGGATGGAATGACAAGGAACTTCTGTTATGACTGAGAAAGGCGAAGTGACACAGCTAAAGCAGCAGACAAAGAAAAGATTTCTGTCAGTAGCACTCTGATTAGATATGAGAAAGGCAAAGTTATGTTTGCCAAGGACAAAGAAAAGCAACTGTAATAATTACTATATGAAATGATGGGAACCTGGAATTTGGGTGAAGAGAAGGTTTATGAAAATGAAATTGGAAAGCTAGGAAGGGAAGAAAAGCCTGGAGGCATGGAATTGGAGAACAGCAGTGCTACAGGAAGAGGAAGAAGATTGACTGGTTTTGCCAGAGCTGTGAGGTCAAGGACAAGAAGGATGAGGATATAGACCTGATTTTGTTGTTTCTTTATCTTGGAATTTAAGAAGTCAGATCAAGGCTTAAACATGTTGCTGTTCTGTGTCACTAGTTAGCTTAAAAATGTAAGTTGTCCACAAAGTTGTAATTGGATTGTTCCCACTGCCCACTTCATACTGTCCTTTTTTACCCCAAGATCCACTACTGGTAGGCATAGAGCTATGCACTGGTCTCATCCCAGCCAGTTTGCTGCTGTCCTGTTAATTAGCAGTTCCTTGGCGTCCTCCTTGGTCACATCAGCAGATATATCTGTGGGGTGTAGGACCCACATATAGGTTATCCCCCACATGGGAATTTAATGGTAAGACACAAACTTCCTGCCACTTGCTAAGGGAATTCATTATCAGCTATTGTCCATCTTTCAAGATCAAGTTGGGAGTGTAGATCTGTAGAAGCTCTTTTAATGGCATTAGAAAAAGAGAACAGTTTCTTCCAGAATTTAGTTTTTTACAAAACTTTAATGTATACTTACATGAGTTAACGACTGTGGTTATGAAATACCTGTTTTGTATATAATGCAAATTTAGTGGAATCAAGAAGCAAATGAAAGAAATGCAAAGTCTAGTTCCATACAAGTATTAAAGAAAATAAACAAAGCTCGTGCCTGCTCTTTGACAAAAAAAAAAAAGATTTACTTTTTTTAGCAAAAACCTTCATCTGAAGAGTTTTAAATCAAGAGATGTTAAACAACTCAATACCAGTCAGTCTCACCTCTGTGCCTGGCAAAATTTTGGAGCAGATTCTCTAGAAGACATGCTAAGGCACATGAAAAACAACAGGGTGGTTGGTGGCAGCCAGCATGGCTTCACTAAGGGGAAATCCTGCCTGACCAATTTGGTGGCCTTCTATGATGGGGCTACAGAACTGACGGACAGGGGCAGAGCAGTTGATGTCATCTACCTGGACTTGTGCAAAGCGTTCGACGCTGTCCCAAACAACATCCTTGTCTCTAAATTGGAGAGACATCAATTTGAAGGACAGACTACTCAGTGGATAAAGAACTGGCTGGATGGCCGCACACAAAGAGTGGTCAATGGCTCAGTGTCCAGCTGGAGACCAGTAGTGAGTGGTGTCCCTCTTGTGGTTAAAGGCGAGGCTGTAAGTCAGCCACTCCACCCCTTTCTTCCCCCCCTCCCCCCACCCCCCTTCACCCCACCCCCTGCTCCTGGAGGGATGGGGAGAAGAATCGGAAGAATGTAACTCCCACAGATTGAGATAAGAACAGTTCAGTAACTAAGGTGTAACACAAACCACTGCTGCTACCACCAGTAATAATAAGGGAAAGAGAATACAATACCACCTGTCCATACCCAGCCTGACCAAGCAGTGAACCAGCCCTTCTGGGTAACTCTCAGTTACATCCCTGGCATGACGTGCTGTGGTATGGAATATCTCTTTGGCTAGTTTGGGTCAGGTGTCCTGTCTCTGCTTCCTACCGGCTTCCCCTCCTCCCTGGCAGAGCATGAGACTCAGAAAGTCCTTGGTCAGACTAAATATTTGAGCAGTAACTAAAAACATCGGTGTTATCAGCGCTGTTCCCAGGCCAAAAGTCAAAAACACAGCACTGCACCAGCTACTAAGAAGGAGAAAAAATGACTGCTACTGCTGAACCCAGGACAGTCCCTCAGGAATCTGTGTTGGGACCGGTCTTGTTCAACATCTTTGTCGGTGACATTGACAGTGGGGTTGAGTGCGCCCTCAGCAAGTTTGCTGATGACACCAAGCTGTGTGGTTCTGTTGATACACTGGAGGGAAGGAATGCCATCCAGAGGGACCTTGACACACTTGTGAGGTGGGCTGATGCCAACCTTAGGAAGTTTAACCATGACACGTGCAAGGTTCTACTCCTGGTTCGGTGCAATCCCAGGCACAGCTACAGGTTGGGCAGAGAAGAGATTCAGAGCAGCCCTGCGGAGAAGGACTTGGGGGTGTTGCTCGATGAAAAAATGAACATGAGCCGGCTTCAGTGTGCGCTCACAGCCCAGAAAGCCAACTGTATCCTGGGCTGCATCAAAAAGAGCATGACCAGCAGGTTCAAGGAGGTGATCCTGCCCCTCTACTCTGCTCTTGTGAGATCTCACTTGGAGAATTGTGTGCAGTTCTGGTGTCCTCAACATAAAAAGGACATGGAACTGTTGGAACAAGTCTACAGAAGGGCCACGAGGATGATCAGGGGACTGGAGCACCTCCCGTATGAAGACAGGCTGAGGGAGTTGGGGCTGCTCAGCCTGGAGAAGAGAAGGCTGCGTGGAGACCTCCTAGCAGCCTTCCAGTATCTGAAGGGGGCCTATAGGGATGCTGGGGATGGACTTATCATTAGGGACTGTAGTGACAGGACAAGGGATAACAGGTTAAAACTTAGGGGAAGTTTAGGTTGGATATAAGGAGGAAGTTCTTTACTGTGAGGGTGATGAGGCACTGGAATGGGTTGCCCAAGGAAGCTGCGAATGCTCCATGCCGGGCAGTGCTCAAGGCTGGGTAGGACAGAGCCTTGGGTGACATGGTTTAGTGTGAGGTGTCCCTGCCCATGGCAAGGGGGTTGGAACTTGATGATCTTAAGGTCCTTTCCAACCCTAACTATTCTATGATTCTATGATTATAGCCTCTTAAAAGTTAAAACCTTTTCTATGGATGTAAAAAACCCTTGCCCAATGCTCTAAAATAGTGAGTTTTAACTGTTGTAAAGAACAGTGTCTTCCAAGAAATCGCAACAATTTAAACAGACAAATTTATGCCAGACCTACCTATGCTCTTAAGAAAAGTCCTGATAAATCACCATCTGGAAACTCATATCAATAGCTAACTCAGTAAACAAACCATCTGTATATCAGTGCTTCAGATTGGTAGTCTTTGACTAAAGAGCTTATTACTGGTCCACCATATTTATACAATGCCTGAGAGATATTACATTATTTAGGCCCAAACCCCAGGGGAAAATACTACTAATAAAAAAGCTTGCTTTTTTTATTTCCACAGCATTGGTAGAGGCCAATCCCTATCTCATTTCATTAAATTGTTATCTCTTATTTTATCAAATTCAGTCTTTTTGTTTGTAAAAGAAAAACAACGTTCAAAACCCACATTCAAAACTCATATTTTTTTGCCTTTCTATTTTAAACAGGCACTTGGCAGACTGAAAAGGCATTTCAAAATGCCAGCAACTGAACTGTGTGAAGTATAATAGAGTAGACAAATAATACACTCATGAGAACAATGCTTAAAATATAAAAAGCTGACAGAGCACATACTGCAATGACCCGGGTAGGTGCCATAAGTACAAGGAAAAACAGAGTATAAATATGAGCTGCAGTGCTCTTTTTTATTTATTTATCTATTTATTTATTTTTACATTTATTACTAATCTACTGAAATTATGAAAAAAATATTAAAGAAATATAGATGGCACTTTTGGTCTTTGATAAAGCTTCATCTAGTTTACCCCCTGTTCCACTTCCAGCATTGTTTTAGGTGGAGGTTAAGAACTTGACTTCAGTCTTTAAGAATATCCCTTTTTTAATTGCTAAAACTTAAATTCAAGGGATTTGACTACTGAGGTATCAATTACAGGCTCTGTCATATCAGAATGAACCTGGAGGTTCCCAGCCTATATATATATATATATATATATATATATAAAAATGCTGATCATTCTTCAAAGGTAAGATTTGGCCTGTGTTATGTCTCTTTCTTGAAATCTTCCTCTTTTAAATGTGAAGCATAGTACTAAAACAGTTTTGTTTCTTTTTCTATCCAATGTAGTAAGAAAGAATAGGGAAGCTTTAACACATTAATTAAACCCCTTAAAATAAAGAAAACAAGCTTCATTTCAACTAATAAAATTCTACAGGGAAGAAAAGAGAAAATTGGAGAGAAGCTGGAGAAGCTCTGTAATGTTTTAAAGCTCCATGAGGTCATAAAACTTCATAGAAGGCAAAAAAAGGAAGAAAATATTTTTATTGTTAGTTGCAGACATTTTGTAATTTGCCATTCATTTGCCAGGAATAGGGAAAAATATCCTCACATTCTAGTAGTCAGATTGTCAAAGCGACCTTTTTTTAATGTCACACGTCACAGAATTTCATGTCACACTAAGATAACATGACAGGGCAGAGCCAAGCTTTTCTAATGTTTCCCTTTCACCTTCTCAAAAATGCTTGCATCCTAAACAAGAAGATGAAAGTATGGTATATTCATTGCTTGATGATTCAGTGACCACTCTAAAGACAAATGTCACACAGCAAAACAGCTTGTGCATCGGATTTATGTTTTTTTAGAAAGAACACCATAAAATTGAAAAAAGTGCTTTAACATTAGGTGACAAGAACAAACTTGAAATGTCAGAGCTGGTTTGGAATGTCACTCAGATGTGTTATGCAGTTATCACAGTGTATCTAACAGATGCAAACTAAATGAAAAATCCAGCTCCAGTTTGCATTTGGTGACTGTGAGAATAGAGAAAGACATGGACTGTGCAAATAACAGGTTCATTTTCAAAGACACAGAGTATGGTTAACTTTATAACAAAATGCGGAAATCAGCTTTCATATGTCCTACTGTTGACACTGAAGAGATTAGAGATACACAGATTATAAGAATTTCCATTGAAGATCTTTCAGATCTTTTTGTTGTGTTTAAACAGTAGCACTGAAACTATGACACAAAGAAGATCCTTGATTCGGTACTTAATTTTCATGTTATTCACTTCAATTCAAATGTGCAGCAGAACACACTTTAAATGAATAATGTTATGATAGGTTTTTCCTCTTCTAAATGTAACAGGCAGATGGTCATTTTTAACCGTGATTTCTATACCACATTATAACTGTTTCTTCAGTTAGTGTAAAATTAGTTCATAATTCACACACAGATGCATATTATATTTGCATTGTCAAATGTTTGGATGTAAATAGGTACAGCAGAGATAGCATACTTAATAGAATTTCCTACTTTTTTCTAAACTTGACTTGTGCTATTAAAATATTTTTTCTCACCGAGGAGAAAACTCAGCCCAGTCCACATACAAAACAAAGGAATACTTTTAAAGATTAGTTTCCAAAGAAAACAAGAGCTATCTGATTTTGCTGCTGATATTTCCACCCATACGCATGTCCTCCTAGGTCTCTCTCCCAGGCCCAGCGGGTTTTGAACCTTCTGATTGACAGGGTCTGCTACATTTGACAAATACAAATGACCCAGAAATGCTATACATCCCTACAAGTTTTGAGGAAATACAAGCAGGGCAGAAGCCATACCCAGTGTTATGTTGAGGAGAGGCATATACTGTGTTAAACTCTTAGTTAGACTCACAAGGATCTGAATGGCAGATGGTTGCTGTGAATATCGCAATGGTGGGAAGAACTTCAGTCATTCCTGATGCTCTGTTACTCACCAGAGAAAAAAAGTAACAAGTAAGAAAACTGCTTTCATTAGTTCTGCTGCTCATGTAACAAATTGTCAACTCTGATACTGGCTATATTTTCCTTCTTGTATAACATATTTTTCTGTTTTTCCACCACTAAAGTCAGAAAGCCCAGACCCTCAGATAATACAGATTACCAGCAGGAACTTCTTGTTGAAAATCTAGATCTTGATCTTTCCTCTGGAAGGGTTCAAGTTCAAGTCCAAGTCCATGTTCCTTAAATGCCTTAAAGGATTATGTAGTTGTAGGAACACTTCCCTCAGACAGGGTATTATTTTCTTTGAGGGCAGAGGCAGAGCAGAATTTCATTCCTGTGGGCATGAATAAAAAGCAAGAAGAGTCTCATCCCGACTGAGTATCACACAATGAGGCAGGGAGAGCTGTGCGTCACTTTCCAGAGTCATGGGCTGATCAGGGCTGCTGAGGAGGAACCCAGAGAGCAGAGAATATCTGAATGTTAACTGCTTGTTAACCAGAGTGTTAGAGGAGCTGGACATGGTCTCTGTACCTCAACGGGTCTGTTCAATGGTGCAGATAAAAAACCAACAAAAACTAAAGTACAGCTAGCATGTAATGTATCTGTCCTCTGATTCTACTTGTCCTGTGAGTTTTTTGTTTGGAAAACCCTCTGATACATGTCATAATTAAAGCTTGTGGAAGTCACGCTCATATGATCTTGGATGCTAAAGGAGGAAATTGGTACACAGCAATTGTTAGTACAATTGTTAATAGAATTCTTTTTCAGTATTAGCTCAATACCTTAGTTGTATATTGTATAACATTGGTTTATATTCACAATATTCATAGGGAGTTTTACTGTTATTTTTGTTAAAAAACCCTCAAATTTTATTTGAAAGAGAAGAAGTCATTCAGTTTTTAATTTGCCAAATTATGATGATGAGTTATAGCCACATCTGGGAGTGAAAATGATAACAAATTTCCAAGGATCCATCCTAAGTGTAGTCATGCCATTTTCATAAAATCTTAGAATGGTTTGGGTTGGAAGGAATCTGTAAGTCATCTAGTCCAACCCCCACTTTCTTTTCATTGGTTCTTTTCACTGGTTCTTTGATTGAAATTGTCGTTCTCTGTTTCCTGTGTCTGCTATCACTTCCCTTCCCACATAGAGTTTTGGGATGTTTACAAATGCTTAAACATTGTCAGAGCAGAAGCATGGAAATGTTTTTAAATCTTAACAACTGGCTTTCAGCTGATTTGCAAGGAGGGGTGCCTTCCTACATGTTTATTCTTATTCGTCCTGTAATTATAGTAAGCTGACTATAGGATCTTAAAAAAAACAACAAAAAACAACAAAAAGAACATTTTGCATGTGTAGCAAATAATTTCTAGGCTTTAAAAAGAGCAGGCTTTATGATCTTGGTTGGAATTGAAACTTTTAAGCTGTAGTTTATAATGAAAAACTTAGAAATATAAAGAATTTGGGTAGTTTTATGAGTTGGGTAATTTGCTTTATTTGAACTAGGATTGGCAAAATACAGTTTTTAAAACATGTACTTTGTTTTTCTGTGTTTTCCCTTTAGTATCTGCATTTCAGTACAGATTCTGTTTTATTTTGAATTCAATGATAAACTCTAGGGAAACAAAAAAGCCATCATGTTTTTAAAAAATTGCATAAAACCTGAAATTATTTGGCAATGGCTCAGCAAGAAGTCACAGAAGGCTGGATATGCTTTTAAAATGTTGATTTCAGGAACAGATATTCTGGAATCCTGAGAGCAGATCTCAGTGAACTGACTGACCTCAGTCCATTGGATGCTACAGTCTGAGCTGCAGATCACAGAATCATACAATCATAGAATGGTTAACGTTGGGAGGGACCTTACAGATCATCTAGTTCCATCGCCCCTTCCATGGGCAGGGACATCTTGCATTAGATCAAGTCGATCAAAGTCCCATCCAACCTGCCTTGAAGACTTCCAGGGATGAGGCATCCATAACTTCTCTAGGCAACCTGTTCCAATATCTCGCCATCCTCACAGTAAAGAATTTCTTGCTTATGTCTAATCTAAATCTACCCTCTTTCATCTTAAAGCCATTCCCCTTGTCCTGTCACTACATAACGTTATAAAAAGTCCCTCTCCATCACTCTTGTAGGCCCCTCTCGGTACTGGAAGGCTGCTATAAGGTGTTGTACTGTCTGACTGTTGATCAGTGCTGGTCACAATACTGACCTCTGAGGAATGCCACTTACCACTGGTCTCTATTTGGACATTGAGCCATTGACCACAACTCTCTAACTGCAGCCATCCAGCCAATTCCTTATCCATCGAGTGGCCCATCTGTCAAACCTATATCTCCAAGGGTATCATGCTGGACAGTGTCAAATGTTTTGCACAAGTCCAGGTAGATGATGTCAGTCATTCTTCCCTTATCCACTAACACTGTACCTTCATCGTAGAAGGCCACCAAATTTATCAGGCATGACTTGCCCTTTAGTGAATATGGGAAGCGACTGGTGGTAGCTATTTTATCACACCCTTTGCAGATGGCCATGCTTTGAATATGGACATCTGTAGTACAGATTGCAGAAATACCTGTATTTATACTAGTGTACTTATATATTCACTAATTCAGTGAAAACTTGCCTTTAAAAGATGAGCAAACTAAACACTAAGTCAGACAACCCCAACAGCTGTGACAGAAAGAAGCAGTATTGAAAATGTATTTATAACCTTCTGTGCGGAAGCACAACAGCATGGTTTGATTATAGCCTGGGCTGCTCTTATAAGAACCAGTTGCAGATGCAGCCCTGACCAGTGACCTCACTCCTGTGCCCAGTGAGAAAGGTCCAACTTTCCCTCCTAATTCAGCTTTTTTGTGTTTATCTAAATCTCAGCTACCTCAGGACTCAGATATTGTACTTTGCTTGAGAGAGACTCAGTATCACAAATAGCTGCCAGAGGTGAGCTTCCTGCTTGTTTAGTGATTTATCAGGTGGGGAAAATGCAATGCCGGTTTTTCCAGGTTCTGTGTCAGTCCCAGTCTATTTCTTGATTACACAGCTTTGCATGTGCCACAGCTGAAGCATTAATTTTTCGGTGATTTGAGGAGTTACTGCTCTCTCCCAGTGATAAAAGCTCAGTTGTGATTCAGTGAAGCATGCTAGACTCTTGAATATAAAGAGGTGCAAACTGCTGATAGGATGTTATCAGTGACTACTTGTCAGCTTCCCTTGTTGTTTGAACATTGGACCTGTATATTGGCATCACAACCTATAACGTTCAGATTTTCCTTTGCAAATTTCTGATTTTGAACAAGGAGGTGGTAGAAAAAGAAGGTGAGCTCAGATAGTATCTTACAGCATGTCCGGGATTTCTACTAGGACAATCTGTACAGTTGTAAAACTTCTGATAGAAATCAGGATTATAAATTCTGTGAAATCACTTTTTGGCCAAAAAGAACCTTACCATGCTCTGGGAAATCTGTGTGGGGAATCTATTTTCCTTTAGCCACAAGTGTTAGGCTAGTACTTCGGCTGCTACCTGACACACTCTTTTTCTTACAAATGTTAAAACTCCAGACATGAAAGTAACCTTCTTGGTATTATGTGAGTAGAGTCTCATGAAATACATATGCACTGTTCCATTTTTCTGTAATAAAAGTATTTCCCAAATAACAGTGATGTGCAAAGAAGCAATGCACTGATTTCTGCGGTGTTGTGTTGAGTAATGATACAATTCTTTGCTTTGATGCTTTGCTTCAGTATTTTGTAAGGGAACTTTGTGCTCCAAGTTTGAGAATGACAACAAGACTGCTAGACTCCCAGGAAAAAAGGGCTCAGAGCAGTCACTCCTTTGTGTATTGGGGTAGCTTGGAGGAAGTTTTAGGCATGTCAGTAAAGCAAGCAGAATTGAATAATGCTGGCCTAAAGATGAAGGACCTGAATCACAAAAAGTGAGTAGTGGCATAAGGAAGGGGCATATGACCTCACAGGGTGCTGAAACAGACTTCTCTGCAGCAGGGAAGGAGGCAAGAACAAGGAGGACCAGGACACTGCTGAGGTTTCCTTGCAAGTGGTCTCCCTGTACACCCCAATATGATGGTTGGGAGCATTCAGCAGGTATACTTTAGCATACATTATGAATAGCCACGTCTTTGCATTAAGTCTAAAGAGGACCCAAAATATATGAAGATTATAGTCTTGGTCTCAAAGACCCTAAAATGTAAACAGACTTTACTAATACTGCTGTTCAATAATGAAGCATAGTTGAATGTAATAATTCTAATTTTCAGGCAGACTTAAATTGTTGGAAACAAATTCTTGTTTTGTCAGTTTTTTAATTCTACAAGGGACAGGCAAACAGCTCTTATTATAAGAAAACTTGCTCTGTAAGCAAATATATTTTAGTATAAAAAGTGGAAAATTATGGCAATGAAATTACACTATAAATTTTGAATGTTATTGTAATTGTCATTTTCCTCCAAAGGTATTTGAGTTCTTATTTTGGCTTATTGCTACTTTACAGAAGAAAATCAAACTAAGAATCACATCCATTTCTTCCAGTCCCAATTTTTATATACATTCTGGCTAAGGAAAAGAGAGTTCAGAGTCAAAGACAAAAAAGTTCTTTTACTTCTTACTTTCTGTACATACATATGTATAGGAATTTTTGCGTAAATAGCTGAAAGGCTGTACTGTACTTCTTGTGCCCTTCCACTTTCTCAAGCTTTTAGACTTGCAATAATCTATGAGAGGGAGCATGATGTCATTATAATCACAGAACAATTTTCTTCCTGCTGGAACATTTTTCCCCCTCGATGAAAGAAAATTGAAGCTTTCTATGTTGCAAATAAAATAGAATACATTTAAGTCGCTATTTATCCTTAATTACTGTAGGTTTATGAGAAGCGAGCAAGAGATGTTGCATTTCAAAAGCAAGTATCTTTCCCTAGTCTTTGTTCTATTAAAAACTGTGGGTTTGATTTTGTTCCTCCCCACTGTCTGCACAAGGGTTGTATTTGTTTGCGTGCATGTGTGTAGATTTTTTGTTGTGATCCAGGCAGCACCAACATAGCACCTGGGGCTGTTTCAGATAACAGGTTTGACTGGTCCCCAAATGTCTGTGGGTCAGGTAATCTTCATATATGAAGTACGTAAGTAACTACCTGGGGTGACACACAGTGTCTCATCAGCGTTCAGAGCCACTGCTGAAGTGGGAAAGGGAAGGGGTATAGAGGCTAAATAGCGCGGAACTAAGACTAGATAAAAGGAGCATGCTGAGAAGAGAAGACAGTTGTTTCCTAATTGAGCTGGGGAGGAAAATGAGCCTGTATCATGCTCCTTCTGAAC